TTTCCTTCTTCAGCTCATTTTACAGATGAGGAAACTGAGGCAAACAGGATTAAGTGACTTGCCCAGGCTCACATAGCTAGTGTCTGATGCCAGACACTCAGGTCTTCCTGACTCCAGGCCCAGCACTCAATCCAGTTCACCACCTAGCACCCAGATTAGAACACAGTAAGAGCTTGCTTGCTGAATGCCCTTCAAACACCAGCAGTTCCCTAATTACTTTAGAATCAAATAAGATCATAGAGTCAAAGACCTAGATAAGGAACAGAACTGAAGAGGCCATAGAGATGAGGTATCTAAGCCCAGAAAGGGGGTCACAAAGATGACAAGGGTCTGAGGCAGGATTTGGCCTCACATCTTCCTGACTCTAAGGCCAAGGCCCACACAGATAGCATTTCAACAACTTCTCTGTTATTTAAAGTCCTTCACAATCTGATTCCAACCAACCTTTACAGCCTCATTATATGTTGGATTCCCCTTCTTCCTACATCTGACGGGCCAGACAAATTGGCTACCTTGCCGCTCCTCCCACGTGCTATTCCATCTCCTTTCTCTGGGCTTCAATGTGCTCTCTCCTTACTGCTTCCTCTCAGAATTCCAAGTTTTCTAAAGCTCAAGTGCCATCATCTACATGAGGCCTTTCCTTTCTGATCCCCTCAGCTAAGCTTTCTGGGCCCTTCCCACAAAAAAGAAAAACAATTACCCTGTACATAAATAATGATCCAAGTTTAGGCTGTCTCTTGCAACAGCATGTAAGTTCCTTGAAGGCAGAAAATGCTGTACACTAAATTTTTGGAACAGCACTCTCTCCTGGTTCTCCTCCTGCCTATTTTACTGTTCATTCTCAGGCTCCTTTCCTGGATCCTCATCCAGATCACACCTTCTAACTGTAGGCGTCCCTCAGAGTTCTGTCCTGAACTCCCTTCACTTCTCCCTCCCTTCATCTGGTGATCCCCTCAGCTTCCATGATTTAGTTACCATCTCTATGGGGGACATCTCCAGTCATCCTAATCCGTGTCTTGCCACTGGGCCCAGATGGCTCTGGAGAAGAAAGTGAGACTGGTGACTTTGCACAGCCCTCCCTCACTTAAATCTAATTCACCTGCAAGTCATGGCACCACCTTCCTGATGTCATGGTCTTCTCTGAAAACGAAGGACAAACAACAACCATCTCTATGCTGATGACTCTCAAATCTACCTACACTGTCCTGATTTCCAGCCTCACACCTCCAACTGCCTTTCAAATATCTCAAACTGAATATGCGATAGACATCTTAGGCTCCAAAACTGAACTCATTATCATTCCCCCTACACCCTCCCCACCTAACTTCCCTGTTACAGTCAAGGCAACAGTCGTCCTTGACTCCTCATTCTCTCTCATCCCCCATATCCAATCTATTGCCAAGGCCTGTCAAATTCACATCTGCAATAGCTTCTTGAATACATCCCCTTCTCTCCTCTGACACTAACTGCAGGTAGTCATCACCTGACAGGAACTATTGTAATAGCCTGCCTCAAGTCTCTTCCCACTCTAGTTGTCCTCCATTCAGCCACCAAAGTGATTTTCCTTTTAAAGCACAGATCCAACCATGTCACCTCTGAACTCAATAAAATCTAGGATTCCCTATCACCTCCGGGAACAAATACAAAATCCTCTGTTTGGCATTCAAAGCCTTTCATAACCTAGCCCTCTCCTATCTTTCCGTTCTCTTACACCTTATTCCCCACCACATACTGTTCTATCCTGTGCCACTGATATCCTAGCTGTTCTATCAACAAGACACTCCATCTCTTGGCTCCTGGCATGCTCTCTGTCCCTCATGCCTGGAATGTTCCTATCTCTACCTACTGGTTTCCCAAGGATCCTTTAAGTACCAACTGAAATCCCATCTTCTACGAGAAGCCTTTCCCAACCCCTCTTAATTCTAGAGCCTTCCCTCTCTCATTTCCTACATATCCTATCTACAGTTTGTTTCGTACAATATTTGCTGTTGTCTCCCCTGCTAGACTGTGAGCTCCTTGAGAACAGTGGAATTGTTTGGCCTTAGCACCTGGCACTTAAATGTCTGTTGATCATCACATTTTTGTCTTTTCATCTCCAGTGCCTGGGATAGTGTCTGGTACATACTTGGTGCTTCTTAAAGGCTTAGTATTTGAATCATGTTAACAGCTTCAAAAATCATCCACCTCAACAGTTTAATTCCTCCAATAAATCTTTTCATGGTCAACTTTGAAGGAAAGGTGATGCAGCAATAGCACTGACCTTGGAGTCAAAATACCTTGACTTGGGACCTGATTCTAACCACTTAGTAGCTGTGTGATGCTAGGCAAATCACAAACCCAGGAAATGATAACTTCAGGCAATGAGAATTTAAGTGCTTTCCTACTAAAAGCTAGGGCAGTGGCCTAAGTGCTATAGAGACAAACAAAGGTAAAAACTTTGTTCCTGCCTCACCTAAAAAATGGGGTGATAAGTTATAGTACTCTGCTGTCAAAAATCTGTTGTGGGGGCAGTTAGGTGTCGAAGTGGACAGACCACCTGAGTTTAAATCCCGCCTCAGACCAAACATTTGACACTTACTGTGTGACCCTGGGCAAGTCACTTAACCCCAACTGCCTTAAAAAAAAAATCTACTGTGAAATTCAAATGAAGAAGCATACATAAAATCCCAAGGTTTGCAACTATACTAAACAGGTCTAATTAGAAATTTAGAAATTTTTTCCTTGAATGTACCTTCCTCCATTCTTTATGGATGTAGGGGATCGTATAAATTATTGCATACATATGCTTTGATTTTTTTCCTTTTGTCGATACTTTTTTCTACCCTTATTCTTTGTTTCAAAGGAGTAGGCGGAGAAATGAGGGTGATATAAAAACAAAAGTTGTCAATAAAAAATAAGATTAAAAATAATATTAAACAAAAAAAGAGCTCTTCCTTACTCTAAGCTGAAAGCTGTCACCTTTTGCTACCTACCTATTACTGGATCAGTCAGTCAAAAGCTCTTAAGAGCCTACTATGTGCCATCTACTGCTGGGGGTCCCTTTTTTTTTTTTTGCTTTTTTTGGTGAGGCAATTGGGGTTAAGCGACTTGCCCAGGGTCACACAGCTAGTTAAGTGTCAAGTGTCTGAGGCCAAATTTGAACTCAGGTCCTCCTGACTCCAAGGCTGGAGCTCTACGCAATGCGCCACCTAGCTGCCCCTTCAGGGTCCTTTAGAGAAAATAAATCTAATCTCCCTTTTTCCATATCATAACTCCTCAAATTTTAAAAGAGCTATCATGCTACTCACTGCCCTACACCCTCCCTCTACTCCAACATCTCTGACTCTTCCCACTACCTCTCATACGTAATTTCTAGACCCCCAACCTTTCTCTGGACATACTCTTCAGCAACGTCCTTCCTTAAAATGCAGTACTGAATATGCTATATCTGAGAACTTTAAGAGTTCATCAGGACGCAGCTCGGTGGTGCAATGGATAGAGCACCAGCCCTGAAGTCAGGAGGACCTGAGTTCAAATCCAGCCTCAGACCAAACACTTGACACTTACTAGCTGTGTGACCCTGGGCAAGTCACTTAACCTCAAGTGCCTTAAAAAAAAATTTCATCAGAACTCTGACACACCTCCTAATTTAGGGCACAATACTTCTCTATATACCAACGTAAAATCAAAATAGCCTTTCTGGCAACTAGTGCCTTCACATCCTGCCTGGGCCTACCCATCAACTAAAAGGCTCTTTCATATGAATCCTAGTTAGACCAAGCTCACCTCCTTTTAGTACTTAGCACACACCTGAATTCTCAACCAAAGTGGAGATATCTTTATACAAGGTGTCCTCAAAGGTCTTAGATATCTTTGGAGACACCCTTCTATTTCTTCTCACATTAAATTGTATCTTCTCAAACTGGCCATTAGCATTAGACTGAAGAGAACATCAGCTATGTTTATTATGTTTATTTTTATAAATACACACACACACAAACGTATATACATTCGTCTTACCCATATACCTATAACGTATTTTCTATATGTGTATAACATCTATTGCCTGTGTAAAATGTACCTTTTTATATATGTATGCGTTTACATGTTTTTATTTGTGTGTGTGTTTCTATACATACACACATATGTACGGAGGGCAGCTAGGTGACAAAGCACATAGAGGCCCGGTGTAGAGACAAGAAGACTCCTCTTCCCGAGTTCAAATCTGGCCCCAGATACTTACTAGCTGTGTGACCCTGGGCAAGCAGTCACTGAACCCTGTTTGCCTCAGTTTCCTCATCTGTCTGATGAGCTGGAGAAGGAAATGGTAAACCACTCTGGCATCTCTGCCAAGGTAACCCCAAATGGGGTCACGAAGAGTCAGACACGACTGAACAAAAGTGTGTACAGACACACCCACACACGTGGATCCCAGTTACTGGCATGGTAAGAGTCCATAGAAGCCACCCCCAGAACAAGCCAGCCAGCCAAGCCGGGGCGCAGGCGGCAGGGAGCTCGGCGAGCCGGCCCTGCAGCTGCCGCACACGCCTGGAGCCAGCCCCTCACCCCCCGCATTTCCCAGGGCGGCGCAGGCTCGCTACCGGAGCGGGTCCGAGTGGATGGAAGAGGCGCTGGACGAGGCGGAGGAGGGCGGGGGAGCCCCACGTGAGGCGCTGTCACCGAACCAAACAGGGCGGCCGTGGGCAGGTCGAGGCGCTCGGGATCCCCAGGAGCCCTTCCCCCTCCCCGGGCCGCGCCCCCATTGTGATACCAACCGGCTCTTCTCGCCGCTGACCAGAGAATGACTGCCGTGGGGTGGGGTGGGGCGGGGCGTGGAGAAGAACATGAGTGGGTCAGTGCGGAGACAGCCCGAGGAGCCTGGGTCGCCGGGGCCGCCCAGCACGGGGGGGAAGGGTAGGGATGGGGGCCCGGGGCCGTCCCATTCCCCACGCTCCCGGGTCCCGACCGCGGTGCCGCCCCTCAGGCGCTCCCTCCCGGCCCGCCCTCCCGCGCCCTCCTACCTGCAAGCGGCCCTGACGCGTCGGCCGGGGCCGGGGGGCCGCGGGCCGGCGGCGGGAGTGGGAGCGGCGCCTGCTAGCTCGCAGCCCGGGTGATGGCCCCTCCTTCTGCCGGCGCGGCCACGGCGGCCACTGCTGAGGAAGGAGCTGCCAGGGCCAGCCCCGAAGATTGCAGGCCGGCTCAGCTTCCTCGTCTCGCGAGAGCCTGCGGGCCTGAAAAAGCAAGGTTCCCCCCCCCCGCGCTCTCGCGAGAGGCCTGGGCTCCCGAGCCGTCGCGGGGCGGAGCGGCAGGAGGGAAGGCCTTTGCTGAGGGGCGGGGCCTGTCCTTAAACGATGACGCCCCGCCCCCCGCCGAGTCAGCTGGCCTAGTGACGTCCTCCTGGGCCTCTACGGGCTCGCGTGCTCTCAGGTCACAGTTGAGTTTCCGGGTGGGCGTATCCCTCCTCCCAGGCTTCCCCTCTCCCCGGTCTCCGTTAGGAAAACGCGGGGAACCAACAGTTTTGAAAAGCCCATGGACCCTCGCGTGGAGGCAGTCGTGGCTCTGATCCAGCTGGTGCGCAGACTCGGTGCGGGCAACGGCCCCACGAAGGGAGAGCGGGACGACCGCCTCGGGGGAGGAGGAGACCTCAGGGGAAAGGCGCCCGACGGCAAAGCCCCGGGAGACTATCCCGGCAGGCCGGCGCCTCGCGCGAGGTCCCCGAGCACGCGCGCCCCGAGGGCGCCCGCAGCCGGCGGACCTTCGTTAGCCCGGGACCTCGGCGTCCCCGACGGCGCCGCCCGCGCACAGGAAGCGGCGCTCCGCCTGCAGAGCCTCCCGGGCCGCGACCGCGACCCCCGGCGCGCCGAGTGGGAGCCTCCCCGAGGGGGCCCCAGGACCGCCCCGGCGGGCGCCGCGTCGCTCCGGGACCACATGGAAAGGCTGGTGAAGAACCAGTGCGCCTTGCACGAGTCTCAGAAGTCCCTGCACCTGGCCATCCGGGACCTGTCCGGCAAGGTGGACGTGCTGGCCAGGACGATTCCGTGTGCGCTCGACTCCATCACCAGCACCCAGACGAACCTGGGCAAGAATCTGAGCTACCTAGGGAGACAGCTGTCCAACATGGAGACCACCCTGGACCGGTTTCACTCCTGGACAACCTCTGCTGGCAAGCCTGACGGCCCCGTGCTGGCCTGGGCCCCTGGCCCAGCCGAGCCTCGCCCAGGCCCCGACCGAGCAGACCTCTACCCCAACAGAGACCTTGCCAGCGCCATTATCTTTGATTAATCCATTAAAGTTTAACTTCCAAAGGAAAACCTGGGAGGGACTTGGAGGGACTTCCCGCCCCTGCCCCGAGCCCAGCCAGCCTCGGATGGGTCTGAGTCCTATTGGGAGGGAGGGTGGACACCTCTCTGGGGAACCCCAGATCTTTTCCCCCCAGTGAGCCCCCAGGAGTGTCCTTCCTCCCCGTCTTTGTCACCCTAGGCCCCAACTCATCTTCCAGCCCAGGGCAGAAGGAGAGACTCACACAACGCCTTCGGGAAAAATGTAGGACTGAGACCCTCCAAGGATAACGAGGGTGTAATGGAGTTAGGGGTGTTGGACCCAGCACTGATGAAGGAGTCTAAGACAGTGGGGGGAAATCAGCTTGGGGTGGGGGAAATGAGAGTGGGAACAGTCAGTCGTGAAGGATTCAAGGTCTTCTAGGCTGTGCCATAGTGATGATCTTCTAAGAAGTATAAATATCCCTCAAGAAAACAAAGATAGCAAGAATAAACCGTTGGGCTAGGGAGGGTGAAATGAAAGAGTTGAGGGACCAAGCCTGGTCCTTTTTCTTGTCTAAAACAGCTGTTCTCGGATTACAGCAGAACAGTGTCTGAGATTAATCAGTCAATCCTTGGGTTTGTTGTAATCGAGAAAAAAGCTAGTGTTTGCCTGCAGCTTAGAAATACATGTAAGAGGGCAGCTAGGTGGTGCGGTAGATAGGCCATGGAGTCAGGAGGACCTGGGTTCAAATTCAGCCTCAGACACTTGACACTAGCTGTGTGACCCTGGGCAAGTCACTTAACTCCAATTGCCTCACAAAAACAAAAAAAAGGTGGTAGAATCGTAGTAGTTCTTCTTTCTCTCTCTTTCAACTTCTAGTCTATTGCTCTTTGGGGCATCTAGGTGGTGTAGCAGATAGAGCTCTGGCCTTGGAGACAGGAGGACCTGAGTTCAAATTCTGCCTTAGACATGTGACACTATCTGTGTGACCCTGGGCAAGTCACTTAACCCCAATTGCCTCCCAAAAAAAAAAGAAATACATGTAAGATACATAGATAGCCCACAAAGTAAACCCAGGGGCTACTTTGGCAACATCTGAGGATACCTGGGCCTCTGAGATGAAGCAATCCCTTTATGCTGGCTACTGAGAGAACCACTGACTTAGTGAACCTTAAAAAGGGGTTTACTTTGTGGGTTGTCTATGTATATTACATGTATTTGGGGGGGGGGTGAGGCAATCAGGGTTAAGTGACTTGCCCGGAGTCACACCCCTTTTGCCTTGGCACTCTGGCCCATTAAGTGAGTGAACTCTTCTTGGAGTAGTGGAGGAGAAAGTTGGTACCCTTCCCCACCTTGGCAAGCTGTAGAGCTTTTGGCAGTGTATTTATGTACCCAAGTAAAGCCAGAGCCTGTGTTTGGGGCTGCCTCTTCTGTTTTAGTTTGGTTTTTTTTCCTAAATGTAGGTCACTGAGCAGGGATCCTGAGAATATTTCCAACCTTTGGAGGCAACCTTGTGAGTTCCAGCACTAGAAATCCTGGGTCCCTTAGTCAGAACCGACTGGCAGCAGTTGAAATATTTTGTAACTACCCCAGTGCTTCTCTGAGAAGATCACCACTGATAGGAAGGAAAGTATAAGCCCTGGCCTGGCTTTCAAGAAGACATGGGCCTGGTTCAGACAAAGTTAGGGCCAAGGTGAAATGTAAAATGCTTATTTAGCGGTCTCAAAAACCGCTTCACTTTTTTTAATGTTTGCTTCAGCCTTCCAGAAGAATATAATAGTAGTTATGGTGTATGCTTGTTTAAGACTTTGGTCAAGGCATGCTTGTGAGTCTCATAGGGTATTTCTTTTGTATGGAGGAAATACATAGCTGTGCTATACCTGATCTACATTGTATATTGAGTACCTTATTTCTCCCCCCAGTTTGGGGGAGTCTCGGGACAAGAGCCAAAATCTAAGCTCTACGTAATTTTCACTGGTGCTCCGGTGTTAGGGTGTAAAGCAAAACCAAAGATGAGAAAAAGAACCTGACCTCTTTATGAGCCATGCTCCGTAAGACTAAACCCAGTCCACATTTGTGAGTCCAGAGCTGAGAAGGACCCACCTAATAAAGAGGGAAAGGAGGGGGAAAAGGATCCTACTAGGTAGAATTAAAAAAAGCAAATGCATTCAAGGTATGTGAGATTGGGGAGTAGTTGTTCAGTTGTGTCTGACTCTTTGTGACACCATACAGGGTTTTCTTGGCAGAGATACAGGAATAATTTGCAATGTTTCCTTCTTTGGCTCATTTTACAGATGAGGAAACTGAGGTAAACAGATTTAAGTGACTTGTGCAGGATCACACAGCTAGTAAGTGTCTGAGGCTGGATTTGAACTCAGGAAGATGTCTTCCTGACTCAAGACTAGGCACTCTATCCAGTGCCATCTCACTGCCGTGGAGGGGATGGCTAATATAAGGGCATAAAAAAATCAAACCTTAAGTACCTTCTGAGTGAAAGGCACTATGCTAAGTACGCAATTGGAACAAAAAGAAAAGGAAAAACACCCCTTGAGCTCAAGGATCTCACATTCTAATGGGAGAGACAACATGCAAGTGTAAATACTTGATGTATACAGAGTAAATGGGAGGTAACATCAGAAGGCACTAGCTGTAGGGGAGACCAGAAAAGGCTTCTTACAGAAAGTAGAATTTGAGATGACTCTTTAAGGAAGCCAAGAGGCAGAGATGAGGAGAGAGCATTGTGGGCATGGGGAGACAACCAGAGAAAAGACTGAGTCAGGAGATGGAGTTCTTTGAGGAGTAGAAAAAGCCAGTGTCACTTTATCATCAAATGGGGTGGGGGAGGGGGGAGAGAAGAGTAGGATATAAGACTGAAAAGATCAGAAAGGGATAGGTTATGGAAGGCTTTACAAGCTGTTGAGAGGATTTATTTGATCCTGGGAGCAATAGGGAGCCACTAGAACTGAGTAGGGGAATGATAACGATCAGACTTGTGCTTTAGAAATATCACTTCGGCAGGTGAACAAAAGGGACTTGAAGCAGAGAGACCAACCAGCAGGCATAAGTTGATGAGGGCCTATACTAGGATGTCAATTGTGAGTGATGAGAAGGGATATATAAGGTGTGTTGTAAAAGTAGAAAGGTTTGGGCAACAGATTGGATGTATGGGATGAATGGAAATTAGGAGAAAGACAACTTGGGTGTCAAGAAGGACACCCGGATTGCAAGTATGGGTCAATGGGAGGAAGATGGCGCCCTTGGCAACAGTAGGGAAGTAGAGACAAAGAAAGGCTTTAGGGGGAAAGATAATGAGTTCTGTTTTGGACTTAACTGCTTTTAAGATGTTGATGTAACCAACACAACCCTGAAATTTCATCCACCCACACCCAGCACTCTGGCAAAACTGGCAAAAGATGAGCAGAATCAGTGCTGGAGTTGTGGGGAGATAAGCACACAGCTGCACGGGGAATCGAGCTGCGAATTAGTGCAACCATCCATTTTGGAAAAGAATATGAAGTTAATGGAAATAGAGAGACTAAAATGTCCTTACCCTTTGGTCCAGAGATTTCAGTATAAAACCTATGTACTCCAAAAGGTCATTGATGATGAAAGAAAGTCCCCAGATAACCAAACTATTGATAGAAGTACTTTTTGTGGTAGCAAAGAATTGGAAACACAGTAGATACCTATTGATTGTGGGACTGCTAAGCAAATGAATGTAATCTTATGTTACTTTGCTGTAAGAAATTATGAATACGATGAACAAAAAAGCATGGAAAAAAGTACTGATGCAGAATGAAGTAAGCAGAGGCAAGAAAGCAGTATATACAGTGATTATGACAATGTAAATAGAACAGCCATAAATAATGAAGTAAATATTGTAAAATGATAAAGGAACAAGCTTGGCTACAAAGAGCAGTATAACAC